CTTTTTATTCCAGATTTCAAAATTAGGGTAGATATCGATAAGAAAGATTGTGCTACGCCATTTTTCAATTGCGGTGAGACGGCTTTGCCGGCTTTGAAAATCAGCGTTCGAAATATTGATTTTTACCTGGGTTCGAACGTGAAATTCTGACACAAGCGTCAAAATTTTCAGTGGATTTCCCAGCCTACCCTCTTTATTCCAACCTCCCCTTTTATTCCAGATTTCAAAATTAGGGTAGATATTGATAAGAAAGATTGTGCTACGCCATTTTTCAATTGCGGAGAGACGGTTTTGCCAGCTTTGAAAATCAACATTCGAAATATTGATTTTTACCTGGGTTCGAACGTAAAATACTGGCACAGGTGTGGAAAATTCCTAGGCATATATTTTTCTTGGCTATGGGTTAAATTATCGGGTAAACTAGGCTTTCTAACAGCAACCAGTCTAACTTTCGAACCGTGGAGGCGGCAACGGAAAACCATTCCGCTGTCTTTTCTACTAATTTACTCATAAATGTATGTGAGGTTAGTTTTGTCGGTTATCGGCGCGAAAACTGAAACCGTCGCATCGAGTTCAAATTCAAACTGAGTCTATTATGTTCACCTTCGCACGAACATCCTTGGAAAACATATGGAACCATCTCGTCTCCCTCCATTTAAGAATTAAATATAATGTCAGTCAGAAATCATTGGCAATAAATCTGGGAAAATGACAACTTTAAATTCAAAACCGGTAGAGAGTTGGGCTGGCAACCCCACTTCTTAAAACCCTACAAGAAACGACAGCAGCAACACTTAGCGTAGTGAGTCTGTGGCCCAATACTACACAATGAAGTCTAATGATACTTAGAGAAGTGAGGAAGGAACATTTGTAGGAAGGCATGAACGCCCACATCCTGAAGGTACATCGTATTAAAAAAAAAAGTCTCGTATTTACTAATCTCTGTTTGTCACAAGGCTTAATGTGCGGGTAAAATTTTTTGCTTTTTAGTCAGGTTCGAATTCTGACGAGTCTCGTTACACATTCAGCTACCAAGTAACGATTCTTTTGTCGTGTAACTATCGGAGTTGGTAAATTATTTAAGCAGTGGACAAATTCATTGTCGTAGATAAAGTTTGCCGCGTTTTTTTTTCTTCTTCTTTTCTTTCTCGTGTGTGTGTGTCAACTTTGCGACACACATGCTCGCACTTGTTGAGCGCATTGTCCTGGTCTAATTGCGTCAGCATCTTTGGTGACACGCGATCCGGAGGCAGAAACATATAGACTCTAAACGCAAGTAAACGGTGAAGAAACTTAATATGAGTAACTAGTGTCTGTATAAGAAGAACGTAAAACATAAACGCACCGACCAGGTGATAATATATATATATATATATATATATATATATATATATAATCATGGGTCGACACCTGAAGTCAGTCGAGTTCAAGAAGTCATTCCAGTGTAAATTGGAAGACTCACTAGTGTCCGCAGATCTGCAGTCCATTGGCGGAGGGTAGATGGTAGGGGACGTGTAGTGGAAGAGAAAGAGGAGAAATCGGGGACAGTTTTGATTGACGACGCTGAATGAGAAACATGTGATCTTGGGTAGTTAAAAACAAGAAGAAAATGAATGCTAATAAACGAACCAGAGAAGAAGAAAAAATATAGTCAGTTGAGCTCCAAGCAAATAAACAAGACAGGCTAACACAGCTGAACACAGACGCATAACCCGAGAGTATATACAAACTGGTCGAACTGCGTGTTTCTCTCGATAAGCCCATGTCGAAATTGCGCCTACCGCAGCGTGATCTTCAGAAAGCTAATTTCTAACCCCCCCCCAAAAAAAAAAACGATGATATATATATATATATATATATATATATATATATATATACTGAGTTCATCGAACGGGTATCCAATAAGAGACATGAATCGATTTTTTATCCTCTATCTCATCAGTTATGGGTTGAAAAAGACAGCCTTGTACATTATTTACATTATTCGGACTATTGACAGCCTTTCAGTATCTGTTATTTTTCTGAGATGAGGTATTATGTACATTATTTACGGACTATTGTCGTCATCTTTGTCGCCATATTTATTACAACGTTTCGGCCTTTCAGTATCTGTCTATATTTCTGAGATGAGGTATTATGTACATTATTTACATTATTCGGACTATTGTCCTCATATTTGTCGCCATATTTATTACAACGTTTCGGCCTTTCAGTATCTGTCTATATTTCTGAGATGAGGTCACTATTTACATTATTCGGACTATTGTCCTCATATTTGTCGCCATATTTATTACAACGTTTCGGCCTTTCAGTATCTGTCTATATTTCTGAGATGAGGTATTATGTACATTATTTACATTATTCGGACTATTGTCCTCATCTTTGTCGCCATATTTATTACAACGTTTCGGCCTTTCAGTATCTGTCTATATTTCTGAGATGAGGTATTATGTACATTATTTACATTATTCGGACTATTGTCCTCATCTTTGTCGCCATATTTATTACAACGTTTCGGCCTTTCAGTATCTGTCTATATTTCTGAGATGAGGTATTATGTACACTATTTACATTATTCGGACTATTGTCCTCATCTTTGTCGCCATATTTATTACAACATCTCGGCCTTTCAGTATCTGTCTATATTTCTGAGATGAGGTATTATGTACACTATTTACATTATTCGGACTATTGTCGCCATATTTATTACAAATTTTCGGCCGTTGTACTCTCTGGCCTTCTTCAGGTGGTTGGAATCTCGAACTGAACCCTTTATTTCGCTCACTGGGGTAGACTGTTTAATGGATATCAGTTATCAGTTACCTCCTGTTAATTTCCCTCTGAAATTGAACTCACCCTCTTTGGGTCCTGTCACTGGATCTAAGCAACGCCTTTATCCACTGTGCCATGTGTCCTTGAGGACATCTGAGTATGAATTTCTGGGTATTATAAACCTAATATCTCAGCAGTGACAGGACCCAAAGAGTTTGAGTTCAATACCCAGTTAAAGCTGTGGAGAACTTTCAGAGGGAAAATTAGCAGGAGATAACTGATAACTGACATCCATTAAACATGGCATGTGGAACTGGAATAGTCTACCCCAGTGAGCGAAATAAATGGTTCAGTTCGGCATTCCAACCACCTGAAGAAGGCAGTAGCGTACAACGGCCGAAACGTTGTAATAAATATGGCGACAAAAATGAGGACAATAGTCCGAACAATGTAAATAATGTACATAATACCTCATCTCAGAAATATAGACCTATACTGAAAACAGTGGAGAATGTAACGATAAAAAATTTCACTATTTTTCACATAAACAGAAGGCGCAATGCAGAGATAAGAGATATTAAAGGAAAAGGAAGCTGTGGAGAGTCATGATCACATACCTCCTGAAAGGACATGGCATTTGTGTAGGAGCAGGAGGAAGTCAAGTTACCACATCTGTATAATACTATGATAAAGTTGACTTTATGAATTATGCGCAGTATATTAGGTACCCAATGAGGATCAAATTAACGAGAGTAACAGATCGTGAAATAGAACAACTTTAACAATATCTTGTTGTAAAGATTATCTAACGGAAAGAAGATTTGTTCGTACCGAAGATCTTATTAGGCACAATAAGAGATTAGCAAAATAGGTAATAATAAAATAGAATAATTATGACAACAGACTAATAAAAGTTACTTGTTGGATAGAAGACTCATTCTTACGTTCTTACCGTAGATCTTATTAGGCACAATAAGAGATTAGCAAGAATAACTAATAATAAAATAGAATAATTATGACCAAAGACTAATAAAAGTTACTTGTTGGATAGAAGACTCATTCTTACGTTGTACAATAAGAGAATAACTAATAATAAAAGACTTTTTATAACTAATAATAAAATAGATTTATTATGACAGTAGACTATAATAATAATTATGTGCAGAAGATTCGTTTGTATAGATCTATAGATCTTAGGGTTATTCTTTTTACTAATAGTCACCCAATATAAGGCCTGAGAGCCACTCAAGGCAGTGGGTTACTGATTGGTGTTGTATGCGCGTAAGAAATAGCAAGAAATGAAGTTCGCTTGACTATGCAGGAAAGATAAAGACCAACTCTAGATTTGAATAAGTCAGGTTTTCATTAGCGAGAGTTCAAGCTGAGACATTATGAGCATAGAGTAGAAGTAGACTTTAGAAATGACCGGAAAACCAATGCTAAACGGGAAACAAGTGATAAACATCTACTCCTTTTCAAAAGCCGGGGAGGAATATGAACTCTGAACTTTTCATACGCCTCTCCGATTTTTTCAATAGGAGTAGAGGCATATCTCTTGTTTCCTGTTTAAGATTGGGTTTCCGGTTCCCGCTAAAGACTTTTCATTCTCTTTAACTACCACTTGTCCCTTGTAACTTAGTGGAATTATCGTCTTGTGTGGGTGGAAGTTGAGAATTTTAGAGTTGAGAATTTGTTTTTACCTTTGTGATTTCTCTTATGGGATGTCCAAATCATCAGGATCGTTACGCTTTTTCTTGGGAGACCATTATCAACTCAGACATGGGAATTATCTTTAATTTTGACCACGGGTAAATGAAACCGCTAATATCGAACATGTACGGGTGGGAGAAGCATTGCCTGTGCAAACGAGATTACACACTTGAAACTAGCAATAGTTAATTTGGCCTGCCAAAAAAAAAAAAAGAAAAAAAAAAAAGAAAAAACGAAACAAAAATAAACATGAGAATAAGGCACCTAGTGAGGATCGAATTCACTATCCAAATTGACAAAATAAGTGATATATTACCGACTTGCTATGCGATGTAGAGATGCATCAATTTTGGAGAGATTGAGTCTATTTTTTACGTCTTATCAACACTTTGCAGGTTATTTAAAGTCAGAACATTTTGCGTGTAAGTGAATATAACGAACCCGACAGGAATTCGAACTCGGTTTTCGATTAACAATTACAAGCCATTATTCACTACACAACCTGCATATCCAAGCATGTATTCCCAAGCGGTCACCCAATTAGGTACTGACAAGGCTCGACTTTGCTTAACTTCGGTGATCGTATGGGAATTGGTGTTTCAACATGATGTGACCGTAAGGCTCGTAATATTCGGGGGAAATTTATATAAATTTTTGTGTAAAAATGTTTCATTTCAAACCAGCCTTTTATATGTTTTCGTGGTAAAATCGTACAGAATTCATTTCCTTCTTTCTTTAATCAATGTCACCCCAAGCAAGGCAGTACAGCCGCTAACACTCAAGGGGTTACAGGGTGTAGATGAATTAAGAACAGGAACATTAATAATGAGCAGAAAGAGAAAAGAGCATTCAGGAGGACAGTAGATAGCGATTGTAATTGTATTTAAATTCTTGCAGATTAAAATTGGCTGGAAAACATGGAGCCGAGAGGGAGTTCCACAAACAAGAAGTGCGAGAGAAGAAACTGTCACCATAGAAGTTACGGCTACATCTAGCCAGCTCTAGCCAACTCAGCTGTAAATTGATGAGATTTAGACGCCAGTCTGGTACTGCGCTTAAATTCATACAGTCTAGGCACGATAGCGAAGAGCTCTTCCGAACAATAACAATGAAAGTATTTATTAAAAAGGTACAGACAGGCAACCTTACGGAGGTGGGAAAGTTACAGAAACCGAGCCGCCAGATCAGAACTAATAATATTGCTGATTCTTTTTTGGATCTTATCAAGGAGTTCCTGGTAAATAGCAGGGGCACTGAACCATATATGGCAGCAATATTCGAAGCATGGACGAAGGGTAGATTTATAAATATACAAGATAGATTCTGAAGAGAAAGATTTTGTCGCCCAGCACAGTGAATCGATTTTCTTAACAGCTGACCTAGCAATGGATTCAATATAGTCTTTACACTTCATGTCAGCTGAGATCGTTAGCCCGAGAGGGCACAAAGAGACACCTGGAGGATAGCATCAGCCATGCTGATGGAAGGCAGAGAGATGATTAATGGATAGAAGTTTAGTTTTGGAAGCTTTAAAATTGACAAGCCATGTTTTTGTCATAGTTAACGACGGTTTTTAAGGTCGTTTCGGACATCAGCTGCCATTTTGACCTTCTTGGAATGATCAGCTTTACTATCGAGACAAGAGTAAATGGTAGTGTCTTCAGCGTAGATGCAAATTTAAGAGCAGATGTCAGGAAGGTCGTTAATGAAGATTAAAAACAGCATAGGCCAAGAATGGGGCCCGCGTTAATACGAAAGGATGTCGATGAGTAGCCGTTCATGAGATCCTAATCATCAGTAACTGTTGTCAATGGTAATACAAACCAATCAGTGCGTGGCTGAGAGCAGACCATAATGTGGCTTCAGGGTTGTCCACTGGAAATACATGTAGGGACACCTACCCATATGCGAGATGGTACCCCGATATTATGCGACTGTTGATCGAACCAGTTCTACCAAAGAGTTCAGGCTCCTAACGAAGCAGCAACCAGCAAACTGCCAATCTGGTACCCTCATAATGGAAAGTCAGAGCCACTGGTTAGTCGGATCGTCAAAAAGTTAAGACTGTTAAATCATTGTGGCCGTAGTAAGAGAAAGAAAGGAGGAGAATGGGTAAACCATATCCTGAACAGGGAACAATGGTTGAACCTCTGCTCATGTAGATGAGTGGCCGTTTAGGACAACTTTGATTTCACAATTAGATAGGAAAGACTGGATCTGTTCAAAAATGTGTCCGGAGATACCATAAATTTTCAGCTTGTGGAGAAGACCTGAACTTTAGACTCTGTCAAAGGCCTTCGAGATGTTTAATGCTTGAGCCCGGGCTTCACAGTTTTTTTAGACTCTTTCTGCAGTTATCGTTAGTACATCAACAGTTGACTTGGGAAAACGAAAGCCGTATTGCTTGTCTGAGAAAAGGCCCTGTAATGAGAGATGACGAACCAATCGAGCATTGATTAAGGCCTCTATGAGTTTACCCAAAAGAGGTAGGAGGCTAATCGGCAAATAGTTGGATGGGTCGGACGTTTTACCAGAGTTCTTAAAAACAGTAACAACAGACGATGACTTCCAGTCAGCAGGAAAGCAGGAGGCAGCGAGCCATTTATACAGTTTAGAGAGAACAGGAGTCAGTTCGCGTGCACACATCTTAATGACTATTATAGGGATACCATCGGGTCCACATGCTTTGTGGGGATCAAGGTTAGAGTTGATAGCAGAAACCATGGAAGGGGTTATATGCATATCACTCAACAGAGAATCAGTCCTAAGTGGGAAGTTAGGCAGGGATATTCCAGATAGATAAGCAAGGAGTGCGGACCGGACAATAAGTGAGCCTCTCTACTCCTATTAACGACAAAAAATTACGAAAGAATTCATATTAAGTAATGACTTAGTATAAGTTCTGATGACTACTAACAACTAAAAAATCGGGATTGTAAAACTTCATTTTTCAGCTGATAAATAACAGTAGGTAAGCATTAAGCTGGGGGAGGGACTGAATAAGTAAAGTTTGATTATTTAATAGCAATCATTCATCATCATGCCTTTTAATTCCTTAGGGAACATAGGGCCGCAACAATATCTCTCCAGCGGACACGGTTCCGGGCGATCCTCTTCAGCTTGGCCTATGTCGTGCCGGCTGCCTTCACCTCTGCATCTACATTTCTGCGTCAAGTCTGTTTTGGTCGGCCCACTTTTTGCTTCCCTTGTGGATTCCAGTCCAGGGTCTGTCTGGTGACACTAGAAGCCGGCTTGCGGAGTGTGTGGCCAATCCGTCCCCATTTCCGTTTCTCTCTTGTCTCTTGATTTCTTGGGAAACATAGGACAGCAACAACACCTCTCCAACGGACGCGGTTCTGGGCGATCCTCTTCAGTTCGGCCCATGACGTCCCGAGGCTGCCTTCACCTCAGCGTCAACAACTGCTCGCAAAAATAACTTCAGCCAGTTGTTAACTGAGACGAAAAAGTCAGATATGCAAAAATAGGTTTCATTTGATAAATATTGATCTTAAACCCACAGATCTGTTGAGCTTGATAGGACCTGCTAATTGGACATAGCTCGGGGCTGTCGTTGAAACACGCAAGCCGTCCTATCACGTCAAGGTGACACACCATCAGGACGGCATGTACTTGTAATTAACGCAAATATTAGGAAAAAAGCCAGAACCTCTTTGCAGTTATTTGACAAATCAAAATGGCTGGGTTTTGATTTACTTTTTACGGCTTGTTACATTAAATGAACACGCTTCTACTTCATTTCACATTAACTTCGGTGTCTCCACGGGCTCTACCCTTGGACCCACGTTGTTATCTTCATCAACGACCTTCCAAATGTCATCAGTTCCCAAGTAAGTATTTATACTGATGACATGACTATTTACGCCCGACGATGTAAAACTAACAGCTGCTCTCACAAATAACCTTTAGCCAGGTGTTAACTGAGACAAAATGGTCAGATATGCAAAAATAGGTTTCATTTGATATATATTGATCTTTTTAAAACAATTTAAGATCAAAATGGCTGCTTTTTTTCTTACGTTTCCAAGTAATGAACCAGACGGTGATCTCTGAATGCGTTTCTATTTCAATGATTGGTTTTTACTTTATGCTCATGTACTTGTTCATTCATTCATTATGCCTCTCAATTCCTTGAACAACATAAGGCCGCAACAACACCTCTCCAACGGACGCGGTTCCGGGAGATCCTCTTCAGCTCGGCCCATGTCGTGCCGGATGCCTTCCCGGGGGATTTTCACCATCACACGTCACACGCTCTACTTTGGAGGACTCTTCCTCAGCTATGTCATTGTTTGAAGATATCGTTGAGGTTTCTGTAACAAGCTAGTTTTTAAGTGAGTAGATTGTTAGCCTACTGCACAACCCCCAATCTGGAGGACCAGGACGTGTCTTTCAATTGGCTCCTAAGCCCACAGACCTGTCGAGCTTGGTCGGACCTGCTAAGGGCCGAAGCCCCCGCCCACATAGCTCGGGGTTGTTGTTGAAACACGCAAGCCGTCCTACCACGTCCAGGCGCCACGCCATCAAGACGGAAAATAGCAATGGTGAAGAGAAAATAAAGACAGAGATGAAAGGATAAATAAAAGCAAATACAATAACAAAAATAAAACATTTACAAAACGCATCATGGCACAAGTCTTTCTATCTTACTTACAAGTGAATCTTCACATGTTTCTTTCCAATCTTTATGTTGGACATTTTTTCTTTTATGGATGTACCCGGGCTGACTTGATTTCAGTGGTGAAGTTAGTGAAAATTACAGGCGATTCTAATATACTTCTGGAATTTCACAGACAAATACGATCGGTTGGGCTTGAGGTAAGAGTGTCTGTGTGTGTGAGGGGTTAAGGGTCCGGGCAGAGCCGAAGTCACTACCTTGGGATCAATGGTGTAGGTGTAGGTGGTAGAGGGATGAATAGATCGGAATCTTACTTGGGAATTGGCGGTACCAAGGCTCTTTTTTTTCCCTTTATCAAGGAGGCTCTTTTAAATGTATATCTCTTTTTTTTGGCCTTTATCAAGACATTAGAGACATGCATCACTAATACTTTTTTAGATGCCAGAAAGTAGCTATTCATGTCAGCTGTTTTACCGATTGGGTTACAGGAACCAACGGTAGCAGAAGATCAAATCTAATATAAAATTACTCTTTTCTCCTGATCGTTCGGCGCCGTCACTATTTGATGTTATTGATTTGTTTTAATTTTTTTAAATATATACATATTATATATATATATATATATATATATATATATATATATTAGTTTTTTTAGTAACAATATTATCTTGGATTTTATGAAAATGAAACCTAGTCAATAATAATAATTTTTTATTAGTATTTCCTTAACCCAAATTCACGTAACTTTATATACATTAGTATATAGGTAGTAATAATATTTTCTTGAATTTTTATTAACCATCATTCATATTTGACTTCGTCTATGTAACGTGTCCCTTCACGAGATTTGGCGATCATGGCTCTCCACAATTTTCCTGTCTTTAATAAGTTTACTCATTTTGCTATCTCATTCAAACTCTTCTTCCTCATCCATTGACTCAAGATCGTTAGGTCGGTCACGCGTTGCTTTCCTCTGCCACTC